ATTATTGGGCTTTCATAAATCAGCGGGACATGAGTTTATCAATTTCCATGCTTAAATGTGTACTTAGAACTGATAAACTAACTGAATTCATAACACCACAAACTGCAAACATTTAGTTTGTTACAGTTTCACTGTTTCCTGTGAAACATTTGTTTTACAAGAATTTTCACAGCTTAAATTTTATAACGCTTAAATTAAAGTAAACTCTCACTCATCACTGATTGAAATAAAAGCAAGATTTTAAAAGTAATGCATCTCATTAGCCATTTTTTATTATGAAAATCAAGGGAGCCTTCAGTGTGGTATAGATCTGATACCTGCAGTACCTTGACGCTAATATGAGAAAGATTATTAAACAAGTTAAAGAAGATGATGTTTTCCCTTTGTGTGAAATAAGGTCACCTAAACTTTCTGTGTTTCACAAACTAATATGGTTTAAAGAGATCCTTGAGATCAAAGAGTGGTCTTCAATTGAAGGGAGGAGACTTAGTGACCTCACAAATCATCGTCTAACTAAACAATTGATGAAAGATTATCAAATTTCAGCTTCAGATTTTTTATCATCTTTTTAAAAAAATATACATATATATTATTTACAAAGTGCAGTAAGGTGTTGGAATGCTGATCTGCAGCATATTCTTAAAGTTTAATAGTTACATCACATTCCTGTTCAAACTCATGTTCAACTCAAGTCCAAAATACTTGATCCCAGATGGAAATTAAATCCTAACCCTCAAAAGAAAATAAACAAATAAATACAAAAATTTTAATCAATTTAGATTTAGAACTTGTTCTATGTACTGAATTCAGTAGTTTAAGATGCTGCATAGAAATTTATTGATTTATTTTCTTTTTTTATCTAGTTTTAGTGAATAGGCAGAAAAGCTGATTATAGGGAATACAATCCCAGGATTCCCCTCTCTTACTTAGGCCAAGTTAAAGTTACATAAGTACAAAAAGAGAAGTGCCAGGATATCCAAACTGACTGATGGTCTGCTATGCATGACAACACACAGGTTTCTCTGTATGTCCTGTTTTTGTTTGATTGATCTGACTGATCTATCTGAAAGTTTACCAACTTGAGCATCAACATGAAGCTTCACACGAGCAAAAACATAATCACATCTTTTTCCATGTAAATCTGAACCCTCATCTTTTTTATGTAACAGCAAACACAACAACAAAAAACACAAACTCACCAACGTGTCTCCAGACAAGACCTCCAACAGTGTGATCAGGTTATGTCCATCTCTCAAGTCTTCATACAGGTCATTGATATGCTTTCGTACCTGCAGAAATGGGAGAGGAAATCAAATGTCTGCAAGCTTCAAATATTATTGTAGTTTTACACAGACAATGCCTAATTAAGTGCATTTGTGTATATTTTATTTAAGTTATTCACAAGCAGTATGGGATTTAGTCAACTTTTAAAAAAATCACACACTCATGCAAAATAACAAATTATCTGCTGTTTAATAATTTATTATGATCCTACTTTTCTATTTCATCCTTCCAAAGAAGTGTACAACTGCACGATTTCTAGAAAACATTAATAAATTGCATTTCATTTACCTACAATTTAGTGTCTCATTATCTTGTTTCACTTTTTTCTACAAAGACAAAGATTATATGGGCTTTCTTTTTTAAGAGTCATGCATGCCGATTCTACAGGCCAACATTGGTTCTGGGTTATTCAAAAGACTTCCCAAGTGATCAAGATGCTAAAGCTCAAAAATAGTGACGGAGATCCTGTGAACTAAATAAAAAAGGGGCTGAAAAATGTATTGGAATATTCAGTAACTTGATTACAATTGTATGCTATTATGATGTGATGTCCATTGCTCTTGTATTGTTTCAAGACAAAGACTGAGCTCCCACATGGCTGAGATTTTCATTAGGTCAGAACTGGTTACATACTACAGGGTGATATTTGGATGGACTGACTGACTGACAAGATATTTGAATTGAATCATTAAAACAGTGTTCAAAAAATGGTTATGACCCAGTTCTACTCCTGCCTAAAGCTGGTTGATGTGTGTTTGGGAACATTGTCCTATTTCAACACAAAGTTGTATTAAACCAATAATAAAGCCTGTCATGAAAACGGAGATCCTAAGAAACTAGTGTCCACGTCAACAAGGGTGTGAATTTAATGTCAACATCCACTAATTCCCTAACCAAGAATGAAGCACCTGCCCCAAAAACAACATATTTACAATTAATCGAAATTTAGCTGCCCTCTAAGACAAGAGAGAAATCGCTAAGAGAAATGTTTTATGGACATATGAGGCAAAAATAGGCTTTTATTTGACCTTTTATGACTAAAACACCATTTGATGAGCAGAGTGACACCTCAATACTTCAGCACTGATGCATCTATAAGCCTGCAGCCTATTTTCCTGAATTTACTTCAGGTTGCAAGTTCCCGTGCTGTTTGGCGGAAGTGATGATAAATGCATCGATGTTGAACAGGTCCAGCCTCGCAAACAGTCAAAGCGTTATATTAAAGATGGATTTTGTAGATACTTCAGAAGCAACCAGCATCCAGCTCAACTCAGACACCAATGGTAACTCCAGGTAAGGTGAAAAAAGAAAAAAATGAAATAAAAAACAATAAAAAAGTTGTCAAGTATGAGCCCGAGCTACAAGAATGAGCAGAAGAGGACAGTAGCTCTGTGTTTTTTGTCACATTTGGTAGTATAATTAGAAAACGTAGTAATGCCTCTTTAAGCATAGGCTTTGGATAGAAAATATCATACTCTATATATACAGTAAAATCGTAGTGCAGCCTGTTTTTCTGCTGGTGGCCCTGTTGCTTTGCACAGTATCAATGTTTTAATGAGAAACAAGTCTTAGCTCCAAAACATTTAAAATCCCTTGAAAGCAAGTACCGGATCATTTAAAGCAGAAACAACTGGGTGTTCTAACAGGACAGCTGCATCAAACAGAGAATGAAACTGATGTTAAAATCGACAAAGTAGACTAACACAGCTCTTCTGGAACATTGCCAAGTTCAATCTTATCAAAAATTTATGGATTGCACTTAAAAGCTTTATCTGAGGATGGAAACCAATCACATGGGCTGTACCGGCTCTACTTAGAATTTTAAGAAGCCAGAAATTTGTTGCAGGCATTAAAAACAAAGTGGTTTTGCTGAAATTTGCTAAAGGAAATTTATTAAAATACTAATGGGGATAAATGTTTATATCTTAATCTTAAAGTATCATTTCAATCCTGTTTTAAATTAGGAGAAAATTCAAGGTTAAATCCATGTTTTGCATAACATTCATTGGGGGAAAAAAGCTCAGGTGGTCCTGGTATTTAAGTCCATGATGATATACAGAGAAGTGGTAAAGCAAAGTCTTCCAAGGTTATCAGTGTAACACTTCATCTAGCAACTTAAGTGAGGTGCTAAACAACAGCCAGAGACTCTGTCCTGGTCCAAAAAAAGTCCAGTAATGCCGTTGACCTCCTTTCACAGAGGACTTTCAGGACTTTAATGCCAAATAAAAACCATTATGTTTGCATTACCAGGATTGCAAGTGAAGTGTTTGTATGGAGGGCCAAAAGTGTCAAAACACACTTACAAAAAAAAAAAAAAAAAAAAAAAAGGAGTTATTGCATTACATTTGGAACAGCTTTGGTATGGACAAATATCAGTATCAATATATATCTAGTTTAATTCAGTAATAGTGATGTAAAGTTTAAATGCAGTTTTGGTATTTCGATTTACGTTTCAGTCAATAATTACTGCATTTAAGTGACGATGTTTACCACAGACGCAGAGCCTGTGGATGCAGCTGTAGTCTTTGCTCAGTGGTGGGCTAAGCTCCAGGATTAGTTTGAGCTAGAACGCCCTACTTGTCAACGCTCGCTGTGGCCTGGTAAAAATCCAGCTGGAATCTGTTTTGTTTTATTTAAGATGCTAAGTGCAAAATTAACCAACCTTTTATTAACAAAGAGGACAACATAATTAATGACTAGAGCAGGGGGGAACTCGGGCATGAGTAAGAGAAAAGGAGAGAAATCTTAACAGGATGATTTAAAAAAGAAAAACTTGTAAAGTAAAGCATCTATTGGAGTAATTCTTCCCAGTCTTTCTGATGTTTTTAAGTTGTTTATATTGATATTAGGTAATCTCAATTTATATAATAATATAAGATTTGGAGAGTGTGGTGGCAGCATGTGCAGCCCCACTATAAATTGTCTGGTAATTATTTTTATTTAAATGTAGCACTATATATTTGTTTACCATATTGTTTTTTATTCCTCTTTACTTATGATTTGGCACCAGTTAACTGTTTGGGTGCACATATTTGGTTGACTATTTTTGCCACATTTTGCTTGTATGGTTTACTTTAAACTACCACTTTTCTTTCAAGTTGCCGGTTCCTTGGAGGCTGCCACGGGAGGCTACCATGTGGGCTTGGCTGGGCCAGTGAAGCAAGAGTCCCAGCTGCAAAGAATCTCAGTAGCACTACTTAATTGGACTCTTCCACTTATTTTAGAAGAGGTGTGAAAGTTTGTTTTTCCATTTTTTTCCATTAGGTTTTTGTTCTAAATAAAGTTGGAAGGTTTAAATACTAGATTATTTTCTTTAGGTTTGCTGATTTTGTATTGTATAGTTTAGTTTTCTGTTTTTGTTGTAGTCTTGTTTAGGTAAATTATGTAAATATTCCTTCTTGTGTTAAAATGGCCCAATCAGCCAGTATATATGTTCCCCTTGAGTGTTTGCTAGGTCAATTAATACTACAGCTGCTTGTGTTAAGTTTGGTTTTGTTGATATCATTTACTTTTGGGCTCAGATTTATGTTTAGAGTTCATCATTTTGTTGTAAATAAATTTGTTTCTATTTTTTCCTCAAACTTCCCTGTGCCTCTCTGATTCTTTTGGCTCAGTGCCTTACAGAAATATTATCTATCTTATATTTAATTCAATTAAATGTTACAACTTTTGTCCCCCATACTACTAAACACAAAAAACTAAAGAAGGCCAGAAATCCATATTGCTGAATACTACGGAGTTCCTATACCATATGTTATTTCAAGGAGGTAATTTAACTACTCTGTTGCTGTTTTCTCATGCAAATCATTTTCCTAATAGTCATACTCAGTTGCACATTTCACCTGATTTGAGTATGCCATTGTTTTTATATTTGCATTACTTTTTGTCGTAAATATATTCTTACTGCTAAAACACAAGACTTTCCCTTCAGTGACACCATATAGGTTTGTTAAATCTGTTAGCAAAAAGATTAGCTTTGTATCATTGTGCTACAGTAAATTAATGAGCAAGACAAAAATGACATTTTATCATGATTTTGTAAGAATTATATTAAAATAAATGTAAAAATAATACACTAATACAAAAAAACATTAGATACATAAATTGCAACCCATAGAATGCCTTCATTAACACGTCCAAACTTAAGTTTATCTGAAAAACATATGTCTGCAATTAAAGAACAACCAAAGGATGAAGGGCATCACAGATTAATCTGATTTTAGAGATGACGGTGATTTACTTCATCCAATCGAAGAAAAACTTTTACAGACATTTTTCATATCCTATCTACTGTATGTGCTTATATTCAAAGCTGTGACAGATCAGACAAGTCAATGCTCGTTTATCCTTTAAAGTGTTTCATTAAATTCCAAACGCTGTTAAAACTACACAGTAAGCATTTTTAATTCCAACTCAACAAAAGAAAACCTGCTGCTGCAGCAGAGCAGCTACACGTTTCCTCCTAAATGACTTTCAGCCAAATTTTAATAATGTCTCAGAAGGAATGTTAACATGTTGGAACATAATAAAAACAGAGGCTGTAAACGATTTATTAAGCATGTTAAATAAAAATGGATTTGGTTAATGTGGAAGCAAACAGACTGGCCCAACAATTTTAAAGCCCCTAATCATTTTAACAAACATCCATTTATCTATATCATGTAAACTACTGCCTTGTAGTATCTTTTACCTTTAGTAGATGCTGGTTTATCCATTTTGTAAAGGTCTTTTTCTGCACACGGTCTCTTTCATCTGCAAAAAGAAGAGACGGCACAGCGTTAATTGTTTTCTTTGCAAGTTGTCAGGGCACATCTCTGATTGCAAAATCCATGAAGACAGGAACTCTTTCAAGCAATGCATGTCATGTAAAAATGTATATATAATAAGATAGCAGCATGCCCTCATGCTACATATTAATCTGCTTGGAGGACTTATGATTGACAACTTCATTTGTGCAAGTAAAATATTCTTTTTCCAGAAGAATTCTGTCAATTTAAGTTTGATAGGATGTTGAAAAGAGTCCAAATGCACATAGGTAGGTAACCGCAATAACAATAATAAAAGCAAGAACAGCAAAAACCCAGGTATCAGCTTGCTCACCCTTACACACCCAAAACAGTAAATCTCTGTATAAATAATGAAATAAATGGGGTGGAGACCAAGTAATATTACATTAGTTCCAAATAAACTTTGCTTACAAATAAAAAAATGTGTAATGGATAATAAAAATGCACACATATCAGAATAGGAAAAAAAGATATGAAAATGAAAGAAAAAATAAGGAAAAAGCCAAAAGCAAGTTTGTTAACTTAGAAGTGTATATAACATGGAGTGCAGCTCCTTAAAAATTAATTCATAATTTTCAAATGTCACTTTAAACTCTGATTACTCAATCCATTCTATTGGAGCAATTTATGATAGACCAGCATATCACACTGTATAAATATGAAGCTAAGGGAAAACAATAGATCGTTTTTAAAAATAAACCCCTGAAAAGTGTGGTATATTATTTCTACTCAACCCCCCTGTGTCATCAATAATGTATAATTACTGTCTTCAGTGTTTTTCCTCAACAATTAGTGCTGTAAAATGTTTGTGCGTTTTCCTTGCACATCTTTACTTAGTAAGATTTATTAGAGAGATCTTCAAACAGTACTTATAAACATTATCAAGTCTATTGGAGCCTTTTCTTTGAGCATTGACCTGTATTTATATATACCCTGTTAGATAATGTCTCCACCCCATGCATGAAGCTGTTGCAGAACTGGAGAGCTCCTTCAGTGATAGACTGCTGCACCCTAAATGCACCAGGGTGCGTTATCACAGATCCTTCCTCCCAGCAGCTGTAAGACTTTAGAACCATCATTGCTCCCAACAACCTCAATAAGTTGTTACATCCATGCTAATTTTGCACAGTTTCTGTTTTAGTCACTTAAATAACATGCTGCAGTCATTTTGCAACTCTCTAATCTTGCTGCTATTTTCAAATATGCATTACTGTAAAAATGTCCATAGCTGTATATTGATTATTTATTCTCCAGGTGCACAGATTTATATCGTTAAAACACAGTACAGTATTTCATTTGTTTATTTTTTTAACTCTTCACTATTATGTTATTCTTATACACTTTTCTATGGTCTATATTTGTGTGACCATTTTTTTCTATAATCTTTTTGCTGCTGTAAACGCCAGAATTTTCCCATTGTGGGACAATAAAGGGATTTTCTATTCCATTCTATTGTATTTTGTTCAAAAACATTTTCCTGTAAACTTTAACCAGCCTTGTCCCTGCTGAAAAAACAAATCCCCAGAGCCACGTTTCACCTTGGGGACAGTCTGTTTATATTAGTTGTTTTCAAGGAAACCTCTTCAACATGTTTGGTGTGTTCACCATGTGGCTCAGTAACACGTGTGGACTAAATACACTAAATAGTTATCCTGTCTCCCACCTGAGCTGTGGATGTCTCAGTTCCATCAGACATCCAACTAAACGCATAGCATTTAAGTCTTGAATTGGTACATCTACAGTTATGCCATGATTCACTTATTTTAGGATGATATCTGAACTGTACTCCAGGAGATGTCTGAAGCTAGTTTAAGATATTGTGTTATAAGCTGAGTCAGATTATCTGCAAAACCTTATCTCTAACTTATCTGGTGCATATTCCTGGGGAAGGTCAAGTAGTTTGTTTACTAATGCTCTCTAACAAGCTTATGAAACCTGTTAGTTTATCACAAAAACGCCGGAGTGCTACAGGATGGGAAAAGGAAGAACGTGATTTCCCAGAGTCAAAGATGAGATCACTCTCAGTTAAAAGACTGTCAAATCCACCACAATGTTTTATTCCCTGTTTGCATCACCATGCCAACCAGACCTACATCATCGTCTGCCACTGACAACATCACAGTAGAAGCAGATGCATTTAAACAAAAAAAAAAAAAACTGGTGCATTAAAATCCAAGAGCCTATAATGGCTAAATATTGGCCAGTCGTCAGAGCTGTGACTCACTGCACTGCTTCAACATTTACATAAACTTTCCTCAAAGTAATCTTTAGTGAACCCTTCAACAAAAGCTTAGCTTAATCATCTGTCAACCAGCTCATATTTTTTACACAACAACAACCACCATCAGTTTAGAATACCGGTATATATTTTCACATCTCTGAAAACCAACAGCACATAACCTCAGGCATTTATGAATCTCCAATTCAGATGACACACAAGTTTTCCAAAGAAATATCAAAGTTATTATTGCTAACGACCAAATACAGAAGGGCCTGATAATCATTTAAGGAAGCCGTGGTATAAATACTAACCCATGCAGCACATGAGAGTTACCAGATGTGCTCTGTGATCCCTCTCTGTTTCAAGCAGGTTCTTCATCTTGTGTTGCAGTGTCTGAGAGGCAGACGAGGGGACAGCGGTCCAGGTAGACGCAGAATTTTGTGTGGATGAAAGACTGAAGAAGCTGTTTTAGTCTCCTTGATCGTGGCGTACTGTCTAACAGGCTCTGAGGGAGCTGTAACTCCCTCTCTCATCATGCATCCAGAGCGAGTCCTGTCAGGTTTTCCATGGCTACTTGCTATTTTGAGTTTCCATGTGGTTTGGTGTTTATCTAGCAGCAAGTCGTGAAGTCAGCGAATAAGGAAAGTGTTTTATACAAGCTAATCCATATCCAGGATTCTTTTACTCATTTTTTTTTACATGCACACAGAAGCTCTATTAAAAGTTGAATTATGATGGAAGACACCATTATTTTTCGATTGCATATTATACTAAATGCACTACTGTCAACTAACACATTTATTTTTAAGAAAGCAAAGGGTTTAAGATAGTTAGCTCTCTGCTGTGTAGTTGCCTGTGTTTATTGTAATCAGCAAAGTCATTTCAAAACATCTAGGCAATACAGATTAACATCCTGCATGATAAGACATGAAAACGGCCAAATTGGATGAGACACTGTCTTAACTCCTGTGCTCAAAATCGGTATTTCAGTGGAAAAATTATATAATCTTAAAACATCCACCGTTAGTTTCCCTGGAAAACAGCTTCTGAAAATAAGACAGACTTTGTCAATTTGAACATCTTTATATGTAAAGAGAACCTTAAGGAAATGCCAGAAACCTGTATGTTTAGCCTTAGAAATGATTGCAGATTTTATTCCACTTTTTGGGGGTTTTAAGTGAAAAAGCTACTGTGATACCTATTATATAATAAACCCTTCTAAAGCATCATAAGAGCCAGAAAATCTGTCTCCGTGTTAATCAGGGGTACCTTAAGTGTTCTGGTAGTCTATCGTCTTTAGATTTTCTATTTAGTTCATCTAAAAATAGTGTTTGAGTAAGACATGCTGGGAATTGGAAAGTAAAGTGGTGTGACAGTTATTCTGAAGAAGAAAGATCAAGTGAAAGATGAAATTGTTGTGTGATACAATATTCTCACTGTAAACTGGATCAACTTACGGTAACACTTTCCTGCCATATTCCAAGTCTTTTCTGATTCAGTTTTGTCCTTTTTTTCAACATTAAAAAACTGCTTCTGAATCCAAAGAGAAAAACATTGAGACATCCCAGCATGCCAGTTGCACAAGAGGTAATCTACACTAGCTTTACTAATGGCGACTTCCAAGCAGATGGATCCACTGATGGACTGAGGGACACTGAGATCGCAGAACTATGAAGAAAGAACATAAATGGTTCTGAGGAAGGTAAAAGCCACATAAAGGGAAACCATAGAGACTGTCTTTTGACGTTCTAACCAGAATATTACAGCCTAGTCCACTTGAGTTCCAACCTTTTCTGTCTCTTAAAGGTATAGTGGAGGATGTGCTCTTTCCGGGTGGATCATCAAAATAAGTGGTCCTCCTCATTGTCAATCATTCTGGTGATTCTTCTTTTGGAAAGTATGAGCGATGCAAACAACAACTTTTAAACAGCATGTGCACAAGGAGAAATTGGCTCGTGCACACTCTTGCACACGATTAATAGGCATTCCCTATCGGGAGTGAGTATAAGGGTGTAACTGTGCTTTTTTTTAAGTGGAGAGTCATTTTCAGTCTTTTTAAGTTCATGAAAATCCCCCATTATACCTTTAAACACCTTTTTCCTCAAAATAATATAAAGTCAAAAACCTTTAGGTTATTAGTAATATTAACCTTTCAAGAAATTGGCTTCCTGTCAGATTTTAGCTGAGTCAATAAAAAGTTATGCTTAGGGGTAAAACTGTCTTATAGGTAGCAATGTTTATCCATCTTATTTTTTTCAGCTGAGTTTAACATTGATAAGTCGAGATTACCTACCCTTTTTTTAACAGCATTTTAAAAGCTAAGGATTCATCTATAGATCAAATTCATTTTACTGATAAGTTATTAGACTTATTTGATTTGAATGACAAGTGAAATCGAGTGAGTTATGGACATTAAGTTTATCAAACTGATAACATACATGTAAAAATGATTAAGACTCATGGAAATATGATATACGGTATCTAAAGACATAGGCAGACTTCCTGCTCTTTTACTCTGTCATTGCTGATATGTTAGTCCCTGTCATTCCCTTTTAAGCTTAATCACAGATGAGCAAAGCTGCTCAGACTGCAGAGGGACACCAATGCATCAGCTTATTACTGCGTTACATTCAAAACCTTCCAAAAAAGGAAATTATACAGACAGCATTCACAATCATTCCAGGAAACTGCCCAGCTGAGAGCAAAGGTCGGGGTCAGAAAAAGAAACCATCCCAGAGACAGAC